CTGTGTGTCTGTGTGCCTGTGTGCCTGTGTGCCTGTGTGCCTGTGTGTCTGTGTGACTGTGTGCCTGTGTGTCTGTGTGACTGTGTGTCTGTGTGACTGTGTGCCATCCATCCATTGTCTTCTGTTTGTTCTGATGTCCACATCCTGCTTGCTTTTGACAAAGATGGACACTTTTTCTCCCGCTCTTGCCTCTCTCCTGAATTTTTGCTCTTGTCCTGTGAATCTTTCTCAGAGCATCTCTTTACGCATCTTCCGAACCATAAATTATGGATCTGGTCAGCTGATCTCTCAACGCAATCGATAAAATTTTCTTGACAAGAAGACAAGGCGAAGGAGAGCCCTCATGTCCTGAAGGGACATTTGCAGCTGGATTTACCATGGATTCCTGGGGATAGTGGAAGATGGTGTGTCTGTCTGTATTGTCCATTGAGGATGTTGATGTGTACATAAATGGATTTATGCTTTTTGGAATCGTGGGTATCTGGCATATTGACAAATTTGGAAGACGCTGGCAGCAGTTAATTGTGAGGCTGCCTGTCTTATATGAAGGAATGTACCGTGCTTCTAGCGCTCAGACTCAGATTCTTTGTGAGCTAAGCCGTAATCTGGACGCAGTCTCTGAGAATCGCAGGCCACTTGCGGCTCCTGAAACTCACTGGCGTGAAGGAGTCAACCTTGGAGAAGACTATAAGCACTGCACGGCAGAGTGACCACAAAATTCGGCTGTTTTGGATCACCACCGAGAGGTACCAGTAAAACTTTGAAGGCAGATTAAATAAATCAGAGTCGGCCTGTGCCAAAACAGTTCGTGTTATCTGAATCTAGCGGTGCAGAAAAAAAATCGATTTTTGAAAGAGTCTAGATTATTTGTCCTGGCGATTCTGAATAGTTTCTAAAGGTCCATAAATCGATTTAAAAATGCATTTAAGTTTTATATTTTTTCCGCTTCTACTCCCCGTTCAGCCACTGTAGAAATGAGCCGTGTAGGCCACCGTACAGCAGCTAGTTATCCAGCTCCCTTTATCTGAATGGAGCCTGCTAGCATGGAGGACAGCGTGATTCTACCCACTGCTTCATCTTTAAAAATCATTTCAGATCCTCCAATGTTCCGGGAGAAGACAGAGCTTAACAAGAGCACAGTTGTTTACAAAAAGTGTAAAATAAAATTGCGGTACAGTATTTTGGAAATATGACAAAAATCACGGAAGATGAAAGTGAAGCAGCCGACCAGTGAACTCTACAACAAACTTCCAGTCTTCTCCAAAGGCTGTGAAGAGTTCCCTCTCCATCTCCTGCTGCATCACAAAGGATTTATGAGCAGACAGCTCAGTGGAAGGTGAGAGGTTCAGGTTTATTTTAATACGATGTATTCAACGTACATTATTCCTTCATGTAGATTTTTTTCTTTTCTTTTTGCGATAAAGCAGCAACACAACTTCACCATGAAACAACAAATGGGAGAAGCTCTGATGCAGCTGCAGCTCAAATGAAACTGTTATTTCTCATATTAAACTAAAACTTATAGACAAGTTGTACAACAAACTTAATGTAATTTGTCTTTTTAACAGGTTGAAGAGATGAGCCACATCTCCTGGATCCAGTTCTAAATGATACAGTTTATGGTTTATAAATTACAGTTCAGAAGTTTTTGTGCAAACTTGCACAGGTTTTGAAATTTTGTTAAAGATTTACTAAATATGAATCAATATGGTTAAGACTGAAGTCTGTATATTTCATTCAGGTAACTAAGCTAACCTAATACTGGTAATTTAAGTTACAGAATTTTATGCACTCCTATATTTTTTCCTATTTTTGGTATAAATATAAAATGAATAAAAAATATGATACAGTAAGGAACCTAAAATTATTGTTTTAAATAAAAGTTCTATTTGTTTACATTGTTGTTTAATCTTTTCATCTTGTCAGTTACATATACATTATAATTGAAAAAATTGTATAACCATTTCAATAGAAGAATCGTTTCCAAATAAAAAAATCAATTTTGAATCGTATCGTGACACCAAAAATTGGAATTGAATCAGATCGCCAGACACAGAGATTCGCACCCCTATCTGAATCTGGCTTCCCCGCTTGGCCTTGAAAAGGCCAACATATCTCAAATTTCTTCTGGGGGTTATGCGAACTAGAAGCTCTGCTCTGACACCCAGATAATAAACCATTGCAATAGTCCAGTCTAGACGTGACAAATGCATGGACCAGTTTTTCTGCATCATCTTTAGATCAGATGTTTCTAATGTTAGTGATATTACGCAGGTGGAAGAAGGAGGTTCTAGTAACGTTTTTAATGTGGGGGATAAAAGACACGTCCTGATCAAAAATAACACCAAGATTTTTAACATTAGAGCTGGAGGACAGATTAATGCATCTAAGGAGGGAGAAAGACTGAAAAATTAATTCCTAAGATGCTCAGGTCCAAAACTAAAACCTCAGTCTTGTCTGTGTTCAAAAGGAGAAAATTAAGGGTCATCCAGGTTTTTATGTCTTTAATACATGTTGGTAGTCTAAGTAGCTGATTGGATTCATTGGGTTTAATGGACAAATATAATTATGTGTCATCAGCATAACAATGGAAATTTATCCCATGCTGTTTAATAACTTTACCTAATGGAAGCATATATAAAGTAAAGAGTATTGTCCCAAGCACTGAGCCCTGAGGAACTCCATGACTAACTTTGGTGTATGAAGAAGATTTATTATTTACATTTACAAACTGGAATCTATCAGATAGATATGATTTAAACCATTTTAGAGCTGTTCCTGTAATCCCAACATCATATTCGAGCCTCTGTAGTAAAATATTGTGATCAACTGTATCAAATGCAGCACTGAGGTCTAACAGGACCAGTAGAGACACAAGTCCATTGTCTGAGGCCATGAGAATATCATTAGTTACTTTTACTAGTGCTGTTTCTGTGCTATGATGAGCTCTAAACCCTGACTGAAACTCTTTAAACAGATTATTTCTTTGTAGATGTTCACACAGCTGACCTGCAACTATTTTCTCTAGAATTTTTGAGATGAAAGTTAGATTAGATATAGGTCTGTAGTTGGCCAGAATTTCTGAATCAAGATCAGACTTCTTAAGTAAAGGTTTAATTACAGCAATCTTAAAGCGCTGTGGTACATAACCATCCATTAAAGACATATTAAGTAGATCCAAAATGTGGACATTAATTAGGGGAAATACCTCTTTAAACAGTCTGGTTGGGATGGGATCTAGCAGGCATGTGGATGGTTTGGATGAGGTTATTATTTTTGACAATTCAGAGCTCAACAGGACAAAAACTGTCCAAACATAAATCGGGCTCTAGTGAAATTTTTAAAGTTGCCTCATTTGACAGGGGACTAGAGATAGTAGAAGGTAGGATGGTTTGAATTTTCTCTCTAATTGAAATAATTTTATTTATAAAGAATCTCATGAAGTCATCACTACTTATAGTTGTAGGGATACATGGTTCAACAGAAATGGGACTTTTAATTAGTCTAGCAATAGTACTAAACAGAAACCTAGGGTTATTTTTATTCTCCTCTTAAAGATGAGTAATATAAAGTTCTAGCTTTACGGAGAGCTTTTTTATATGTTAGCAGACTATCTTTCCAAGTTCAACAATATTCTTCAACATTAGTAGAGCGCCATTTTCTCTCCTGGTTTCTAGATGCCTGCTTTAAAGTA